GGGGGGGGGGGGAAAATTCCCCCCTCCACTCAAGCAGCTGGAAAGATTCTTGGGTATAATGAAGTAAATGACTAGCCTTAAGATAAAAGCCAGGTTGTTCCTTGGGAGCTGGAGTGTGCCAGAGAGGGAAGGGTGTCAGCAGAAGTCCCACCGAGTCTGACAATGGCAGGAAAGGAAATTTTAAAACAAAGAAAGAAAGAAAGAAAGGAAATCACCCAGTTGCCACTGCAGTTTTCTTCAAGGCTGGGTTTAGGCAGGCTGACTCTTGCTGGAATGGGCTGTGGAGCTATTCTCAAAACAGAAGGTAGTATTTCTTCAAATGCTTTTCAAAATTTGTTCATATGTATGTGTACGTGTGAGCAAAACAGAAATGCGTTCGAGGAGGATTCAGATCTTAGAGGCCTTGAACACCAGAGATTGATTTATTTCCTCAGCGACATAATTAAATTTCAAAAAGATTTCCTTGGATACTATGTGGATTGTATTGAAAGGTCAAAGAGCAGAAGGAGTTAGGAGGCCACTGCAGTGATCCAGGCTAGAATTGATAAGGTCTGACATGGGTTAGTGACCGGAGGATGGAGAGGTCAACATTGGCCTTGGGCTTGAGGAGGGCAGAAGGGACCAGAAAGCTCAGAGTGGGGAACCCAGCAAAAGAGACTTGCTCCAGAGCCAGCCAGGGTGAGAGACACTTTACCCAAATCTGAAGGAACAAAGACTCTTCCAAAAAATTCACGTCTTGGTCTTAGAGACGGCTTGGCCAGGGTTCAGCTGATTCATATGGTACTGGATGGGAAACTGAGACAGGCTCTGAGTGCATAGGGTCACAGAATGGGACATTAGGCCCCAGCCCTAGATTTCCTGCAGTGACCACTCAGTTCCTCCCCATTACCTCTGGAGAAGGGAGTTTCCATTCCTTCATATCAGCCCAGTCCTGCCCCCCACCAGCCCAAGAGTAAAGGGGAGACCAATGAGGAATTCAGGCTATTAAAAGGCTGCTGAAATCTCCATGGAGGAGGGGCAGCCCCCCCAATTCAGATGTGCAGAGAGAGGGAGAGAAATTTGGAATGCACAAAAGGTGTTGGCAGGGATGGGGGTTGGGCAAGTCTGGAAGGGGCCAGAGTTCCTGGCATCCTGTGGAATAGGGGTAGAGGTAGCTTCCAGCCTAGTTCCCTCCCCCCTCCTATATCCAAGAGTCAGCTGTTTCTCACAGATTCTGCCATTCCAGCTCCAACTCCCATCTCAGCTTCTTGAATCTCTCTTTTATGGTGTCAATGAGGGAAAGGAAAACACTTCTTGGCCTAGAATCAGGCTCACTGGGTGGCAGCTTCAGACACACACATTTCAGCTGGCTCACCATGTTTGGACGTATTCAGGCCAGGGCTGGGCCATGCTGTTGGCAGGTGGGTGAATGTTGGGTGGGAGGTTCTAGGCATCTGGATGCAGAGCACCAGGCTCCAGTCAATGTTAGTTACTAATCTCCTGTGTGACTTCAGGCCAATGCCCTCTTCTCTTAGTGCTTCTGTTTGTTCATTTGTGCTTTTGTGAATAACCAGGCGATGGCAGAGGCCAGACTAGAAACCAGATCACAAGCCAAGGGCCAGTTTGCTAGAAATTGGCCAGACAAGGGCACTCTTCCCTTTGGCTTGCCCCTGCACACAGTGAGTGCTCAGTGGGCGTGGTCTACCCCTCCCCCATATAGGCTATAAAATACTGCTGCCTGCCCTCAACACCCTTCTAAGGAGCACTCTTCCTCCTCCCTGCCAGATTACTTAGGCCTTACAGATTACTTTATCCCTGAGTCTACAATCACTCCATAGCACATGGCTGGGCACCAGGGCCTGGGGAGGCTCCTCACTGAGTACCAACTGATATATGCTCTTGACAAAGAGGAGAGGGAAGCTAATTCCACTTCTCATCTTCTGGGGACTCTGGAATTCTGTCTCCCAACATCCTACCTACATATATCTCTTCTTTTGCCTTTCTCCTGGATTACAGTGTCCTTTGAAATACAAGCTCAGACCTCAGTGGGTGCTATGCGCAGAGGTTTGGGAAAAGGATGTCACATGCAGGTCCAGAGGCAGTCAGTTGGGCTGGGATCTGGGGCCTGGAAAAATCCTTGTCGTTTATAAGCAAGAAAACAAGGAACAGTATTATAATAGCTACCTTTTATTGAGCACCTACTTGTGCCAGGCACTTTACATACATCTGTACTTATAATTCCCACAACAACCTGGGAGGTAGGCATTATTATCACCATTTTACATATGAGGAAACAGGCTCAGGGAGGTTAAGCAGCTCGCTCAAAGTCACACAGCTTGTTGATTAGTGGTAGACTCAGCACTGGTAATGGAATGCCCTTAAATTTTCATTAGGCATTCCTCACACTGAGAAAATAGAGGGGGTGGAGGGGGTGGGCAAAGAGATGCATTCTCTAGGGGCTGAGGGAGTGGTTCTGCTGTCCAAGCTGTGGAAGGAGGCTGAGCCCTGCACTGTTTCCCACCTCTGGGCTCTGACAAGCCACTTCCCCAGACTCAGCTGTAAAGTCAGGAAAAAACGCTCTGGCTGAGATTGTTCTTGTTAGAAAGGAAGAATGGCTGAAATGAAAGACCTTACCCTGTATGTGTATTTGCAGGCGGAGATTCGCACTGTGGTGCATGTGCTGAAGCACACCACCACCAGAATAAGAATATCACTCCCTTTTAGGCCGCATCCCTGCCATGTACAGGGAGTAAGGCAGCTGAGGAATCTTGAAGAAGCTGTTTATTTCCTACCAGAGTACCAGGGACATCGCCTGGGAGGAGGCCAACTCAACAATTAAAGTCTCAAATTTGCTCCCTGCCTCTCCCTCCAGGCTTATCTTGTCTCAGTGGTGTTGTGTTCATTCTATAGATCCAGAGACACTTGATGCCTCTCCCTGCCTCCCTCCCTCTCCTTTCTCTCCCTTTCTCTCCTTTTCTCTCCCTCTCTCTCTTTCACACACACACACACACACACACACACACACACACACACACACACAGAGTCTTGGGTTAAGGCACCAAGTCTAGCTTGCATGGTCTTGCAAGTCTTTTCCCATCAGGCAGTGCTGAGCACACGTGTACACAGGGCTGAGCGCACATGTATACACAGATGGGTTAGTGTAGTGTTAGGAGTCTCTGCGCAAAGGAGAGACGATGATGATGGCGCCATGATGATGATGATGATGGTGCCATGCTGAACCAAGTCCTCCTGTCTTCTGGGAGGGAACCTCCTGCCTCCTTGTGAGTTGGCCAAGCACCCCAATCTCTTCTCGGCAGCTGGGGTGGGACCAGGTCAGTCACAGCTCAGGCCAGTGCTGAGAGCTCAGGGCCTGGCTTCCAACTCCAAGGATATACCCTGTCTAAGTGTGGCAAGGGGCTACTTTGGGACCTGAAAGAAGACCAAGTCCCCGCTTCAGAAGGACAAGATGGTCACTCAGGACAGGATGGAGAGTGAGGTTTCTCTTTGTGCTTTTAAAACCCAACCATGTGTAACAGGAACTGACCTTTTCGCTCTGAACTCACTCACCCCCAACCCAGAGAAAAGGTTTCTGCAGACAGGGGTGAGTCTGGGAGAAAAGGGCCTGTTAGGATTGTGCCTAAGAGTGGGAGGTGGCTTCACTGCCCCCTCCCCTGACCCTACGTGGGAACTGGGTGGAGCATATTTATGTTACCACCCACTTAGTGGGTGGTACAGAGACAGGGACTTCCTGGGGACAGGCGGGGTGGTTGAGGGAAGGTAAAAGGCCTGCATAAAGCCTGGGCTTAGAGATGTGGGGTTGCTGGGTCCTGGGCTGGGTCAGGATGCCCAGATGAAGTAGGCAACCTCGTCCAGGTCAACGGGATAATCGGTGAGCAGCACTGGGGTCTTGTCAAAAAGCTCACCCTTATAGCTGCGCCACTTGCCTGCGGGCAGGTAGACATCGCGCTCCTGCTTCCCAGGCTCCAGCACCGGCGCCACTAGCAGCGTGTCCCCGATGAGGAACTGCGAGTCGATGCGGTGAGCTGTCTCATCGCCCGGCGCGATCCACCAGAGGGGGCGCACGATGGGGTCGCCCGTGTCGGTGACCTCACCGGCCAGCTCAAGCAATAGCGGTGCCACGAGCGAGGCCCTCAGTGCGGCGAACTTGTGCGCGATGGACACCACTTCAGCGTCGTATTGCCAGGGTGGGACTGAAAATTGCATCGCGGGCATGAAAGCGGCCACCTCCAGCCAGCGCACGTAGAGCTCGCGCTCAGGCACCTTGCCGCCGCCGGCGGTGCGCTCGGGCACCACGTTGCCACCCACCATGTCCGGCAGGATGAACGGGTAGCCCAGCATGCTGACGGTGAGCACAGCGGGGATGAGCGAGCGCAGCCCCAGGTCGTAGCCCCACACCGAGTCCCGGTCCACCAGGCGGAAGAAGCAGGAGATGTTCTGTGACTGGTAGCCCACGCGGACCTCAGCCAGAGAGAAGAAAGGAAGCGCCATCTCAGTGTAGCGCCGGCTCCATATGTTGGGGTCCGGCAGCGACCTGTAGGTGCTGAAGTCCCGCGGCAAATAGCTGACCTCACCCGCGTCGAACTTAAAGGAGGCCACGTCGTAGCGCGAGCGCAACCGCCGCAGGTGCCCCTGGAACCAGTCGCGGGCCTCCGGGCGCGTGAAGTCCAGCACCGCACCGATGCCGTTCCACCAGCGCACCAGCGCCGGCAGCCGGCCCGTGGGTTCACGCACGAACAGCTCTCGCTCCACGCCCTCGCCAAAGGACGATGAATTGTAGTTGACAAATGGGTGCACCCAGAGCGTGACTTGAAATCCAGCATCGCGCAGGCGGCGGAACATGTCACTGGCGTTGGGGAACTTGACCTCGTCGAAGTCGAAGTCACCATAAGCAGGCGTGTACATGTCGTCGATTTCCAGGTGGCTACTGTTGAAGCGGTGCTGTAGGATCTGTTGGGCGAAACGCTGCACCTTGTCCTGGTCCACCGCGCGCCCATACAGCACCCATGTGGACCAGATGGGGTCCCGGAAAGTCTCGGGTGCTGGCACCCTCGACGGCTTGTTGAAATAGCGCCGTACCATGTACTTGTGGATGGAGGTGACATCTGAGCCAACGCACACGCGGTAGCTGAGCTCCAGAGCAGCGGCAAGGCCGGCGGGGGGCTTGAAGGGCGTGTTGTCGTAGCGAGCCTGCAGCCGCAGCGAGCGCTCTGTGCTGTTCCAGCCCAGGTGGAAGGGCACCGAGTCGTTGACCTTGATGGCAGCCGCGCGCGAGGACAGCCAGTAGCGCTCGAGGATGCCTCCGAATGCTGCGTCGGAGGAGTACACGTCGCTGGTGACGAAGGGCTGCGGCTCCAGCTGGCCTTCCAGCCGGATGGGCCAGTGCTGGGTTCTCATCTCAGCGCCGCCGTACCAGTGCGCCGCCGCGTCCCCCAGGAACATGGCATGCTCCACGGCGCGCCCCGGGGCCGCCTCCTCCCAGCGCACGCGGTAGCACATGACTGTGTCCTTGGGTCGCACCGTCTGGATGAAGAAGTGTAGCGGGCGCCCATCTGCCGTGCGAGAGCAGCCCAGCCGGGCGCCGTCGCGGCTGCAGGAGTCGAGGTCCAGGGCGCCAGAACGGAAGGCCAGGCGGAAGACCTGCTCGCCCTTCTGGTTGCGGATGGAGAAACCTCCGCGGTTAAGGTCCAGCAGCTCCGCGCGCAGACGTTCCGCTTTGCGCAGAGAGGCGCTGTAGTAGCACCAGGCCACCACCGCGGCCAACACCAGCAGCAGCCCCAGCACTGCTGAGCCCAGCAGCGGCTTCACCTCTTTTGATGGCTTAGGCTTGACAGGTGAGAAGTTGTCAGGCAGGAAGGTGTACATGGCTGTGGCCGAGGCAGCCTCAGGGCTCTTACGGCCTGTGTCACGCCCAGGGCGTCGGCGGGGGTAGGCCTGGCTCTTCTCCGGCGAATTTTGGGGCATCAGCCCTCCAGTTAAGGAAGGAGCGGGCAGTGGGGCCACCTGACAAAGCCCATCTGAACCTGGCCTGCCAGAGTCTGGAAGGGGAAGAGAGATGTGGAACTGACCTCATTCCATAGTATTTCCATTTGCTTCAGCAAGAAAGAAGAGGTGTTATACTTTGGGAAGGTGTATTCTGGGACATAAAGGTTTAAGAAATGGCAAAGGTGAGACTTACCAGGACAATCTGTGTCTTATCCTTTCTCACGGGCTCTAATGCTTGCTGAAATTAGTCAGGACGGGATGGGGGTGGGGGGATGGGGGGGAGAGAAATGACATGCATCCCATTTTTGTGGGGAAGAAACAATCCAGACAGGGTCAGGGAGCTGTCCAGATCACAGAATATCAGACCTCCTGGGATCACACATGGGGGCAGTTCAAGCAGAAGGGAAGGGGAGAGATCTGGCGAGGACCTAGTTTCTAGGGATGTGGCCATGGTGGGAGGGGAAAAGCATAATTCGGTCTGTTCCTTGAGACCTTTAATAGGGCAGTAGGATGAGTTCCCTTGTCCCCAGAAGGGGAGAGGAGAGAGCAAGGAGGAATAGCTCAGGCATGGAATTTAATCAGAAACCAGATTAAATCTGGAGATTAGATTAGTCCTAGGGCTTAGTTTGGAGGGAGGCAGGGTTGGGTTCAGACATTAGGGCTGGGGTCAGGAGCCTGGCCCGAAGGCCATGGTAGCTGACTTCTCAGATCTTTGTTCTCAAATTCCACCCTGCTTTCAGCCACTGTTCACCAATCCATTTCCCTGCCCACCTTCCTGCTCTGCTCCCAGCACCGCATCTGTGGGCCAGCTACCACCAGCTTTGTCTCTGCCACTCACCCACTGTCCTGCGGCCCCTTCCCTAGTTTTGAACACTGTCTCTTCTCCCCTGTGTTATTTCAACACTTCCCCTATAGACCTCCCTGAACTCAACTTCTTTCCCCCAATGCCTTCGGCTTATAGTAACCATAGTGATCCTTCTAAAGAACTTATCAGGCCCTGGCTGTTGTAGCTCAGTTGGTTGGAGCATCGTCCAGTGCATCAGGTGGTTGCAGGCTGGATTCCTGGCCACGGCACATGCCTAGGTTGCGGGTTTGATCCCTCAGTCGGGGCACATATGGGATGCAAATGATTGATGTTTCATTCTCACATCGATGTTTTTCTCTCTCCCTCTCCCTTCCTCTCTCTCTAAAATTAATAAAAGCTTGTCCTCAGGTGAGGATTAAAAAAAAAAAAAAAGATGATCAGACCACATCTTTTCCTAGAGAGCTTCTCATGACCCCTGTGATGAAGTCAAGAAGCATAAGCTTTGCAATTGAGGCTCAAGGCATGATGTGGTCGCATCTCATTACATGTCCAGCCAGGCCTATCCTATGACTACCAAGCTCATTTCTTCCCCAACCTAAATACTTCAGACCACCCACTTTAGGAGATTCCACCTGTCTACCTTGGGCCAATGTCTCTCCCCAACCTACCAGCTCTCCAGGGATCACCTTCCCCCCC